TTCGTGCCGTGTTATTGATCGCTGTTATCGCCCAGGCTCGGCGTTGATGCTGTGATCTAGAGGGCGCTGGTCTTGCGCAATTTAGTGGCGCTGCCGGCGCTGCGATTAACCCGGCAGGCGGTGGGCCTCCCAGCCACCTTCCGCGCGGTGGGGGGGGGGGCATTTTTTGCCCCCCCCCCCGTATCTCCGAAACTACTGGACGGATCCGGAAAATTCAAACGGCGTTCGATAGCCCTGTCAAATTTGTCGAAGGAAACCAAATTTCATTGACCTCGGGGTCACCGATGAGGTCACAGGTTAGGTCAAAGATAAAATGTTTCGCCGTTCACGGGGCTTCTAGGGAAAGCGCTATAACACCGAGTAAGACGCATTTTGTCAAAAATCAGCGATAAGTCGTCAGTTGTCTAGTACATATGTTGCTATTAGAGGTCACTGGTCATACCAGGTCAGATCACAGGTCAGGTCACCAAAGGTCACCAAGGGTCACCACATGAACCTAACTTTACTAAGGTTGTGCGATGCATGTTTTATGGCCAGTTTTTCATTTCCAACTCAATGGTATTGGTTATAAGACCATCAGGTACGGTTTAGGTCACTTTCTGTTGAAGGTCAGGTCAAAAAAGGTCAAATTTCAAAGTTGATATTTTTGCATAAAATGGGTATCGATTCGATGCAGCTCGCCACGGGGAGTTTAATAGTGGTCTTTGTTTTGCGCTACGAGGTCCAGAATTGCTAAAAAATTGAGTTTGAATATTTGACGTCATCAATTTTGAACAGTTTTTTTCGCTATAACTTGGCCAAAAAAGGAGGCATTGATCTCAAATTTGGTATGTAGATAGAAGGCGGTAGGGACTATCACATATATTCCGTTTTTTCGAAATTCAAAAAACTTTTTGGATTTTTCGGCTAATATATTCAAAAATCTATTTTTTTGTTTTTTTGGGGTCAAAATCCAAAACATTCGAAAAACCGAAATAGCAGTTTTGTAGCCCTCTTCATTCCACACCTTTTATATGTGGAACATTTGTCTGTATCTCTAAAGCTGTAGGCCTGACAGCTCTTCCCGCGAAACCTTTTTTTGGGTCGAAAATGGCAGAAATGACGTCACTCTTACGTCATTAGCGGCCAACCTATCTATAGCCTTTGGAAAAAATTTTGGTCAGCATGTGCGCTAGCTACTCCCGGTAGGGTACTGAAAGTTTGGTGACGATCGGTGCAGCGGTTCTCGAGATATATCGAAAAAACTAAAGGGGGGCAAAAAAATGCCCCCCCCCCCACCGCCTGGAAGGTTAAGTGTGTTATTTGATCGGTTAAGTATGTGCATCCCCCTCTGTGTGCTGATGGCGAAAGTGTTATGCCCATATGTTTTGTTGCCTGTTCCGTTTATTTCCCTGTTTGGTTGATAAGTGTTCGAGTTCCACGTTGCGTGCGACGTTTTGTTCTGATATCGTTCTTATGTTGGTAATCGTTATTTCCAGAAACCGTCATCGTCTCGCTGGTACAGTGGAATATACAGGGTGATCGAAAAAAAGTGTCACCCCTAACTTAAAATCTACATAACTCGCGACTGGTAGGTCGGATGACTTCGCGCCAGGCAGCATCGGAAAGAGCAGGCAATTTCTTTTCAATTGAATGTATTCATCAGACATGTGCTTGGATCCGAGAGCTGGATCTATGATCTCAGTGGATCTCTCGACAAAATAGAGGGGTTGGATCTATGATCCGAGTGGATCTCTCGACAAAATTCAGGGGTTGGATCTATGATCTGAATGGATCTCTCGACAAAATTTAGGGGTCGGATCTATGATCTCTGTGGATCCAGCGGGCAAAAATTTGTGGAGGACCTATGATCTGTATGGATCTCACGACAACATGTAGCCAATGAAACCCTTATCCTACATAATTGTACACCTTACAGTGCAATACAATTGAGAATTATCACTTGTGGACATGGTTATTAGTTAAGACCACTTGTAATCATTAGGTATCATCATTAAATTTGAATTTAAATAAACAACATTTGTACTACATTTAAAATAAACCAAGAACATGCATATTGCTACTTTTTGCGACCAATTGTAACTTTTTCATGACAGCACTGATGACAATCTTATCAACAAGCTACAGCCACTTTAATTCAATGAACAAACAGTACAGACAGATGCAGTGGCAGCAGGGCACTGCAGATTTTCATTTTGGTCCCATTCTTTCCATGCAACGCCAGTAGGGCTAATGTTAAAATGCCAAAACCTATGGGGCGCACTGTACACTGGTGCCACACCCCCCCCCCCCCCCCCTGTTCTGCCGCCTATGGACAGATGTTAGGAAATCAAACCTGGAAGCCAATAGGTCAGTTTCGTTAAAAATAATCCATCAATCCACTTCTGCCAGGTATGAAATCCCAATCCAGAATGTTCATATGAGCTATTAGTATGTGCAACACAATTTCGATTTAGTAAGTATAGCAACCAACCTCTAATACATACTTTCCTAATAAAATTACAAGTTCAAAAATGGCATCAACTTCTTCAGATTACCTACTTTTGGCATCGTGCCACACGTGTGGTGCCATGCTGTGCTTTTGTTTTGAGAGAGCCTCCCAAAAAAAGACAAACGAAATTCACAGCAGCTCACGTTTTGGTAATATGGTTTTATTACGTCATTATCGTTTGACCAATGAAAAATCTTAATTTGACCAAAACCGTGATGATTCCAAAAGATTCCCCGTAATAGGCCCTTTAAACTAATGACGTAAGATATTGTTATTCTTTTGAAAGTGAATAAAATAAAGATGCAAGGCGCATACCGCTCAAGGCCATGTAATACCGTTTCAGCTTACGTTTACGTCATTAAATTCAACGCTACAAAGATGATATTCACAAACAATCGTATCGTAAAATTAAGTGAGGCAGTAAAAATGAACATTGTTAAAAAAAACTCCAGACTTTTGAATTTCCAGTTTGATTTTTTATTTATTTTCATTATACTCGAAGGTAGAACGCCTAGCTCATTTGTTATTTGAAATGACGTCACGAGTTCTATTTAGATACTGAATAATCATTTTACGGTAAATATCCAAGGCCATTACAATTGATATTTCGCTTCCCATCGCTTCCGCAGGCTGTTGAATATTTTTATACTTTTGTTTATATCTCAGTTTATTTTATCAAATATTTCTTTCAATAGATTGAAATACCTTTACCTAACCAAGCCACATGTGTCAGTATAATCTTTTATTGTTTATCAATCAATTGTGGTTGCTGGAAACTGGAAAGCCTCATGGTTGTCTAATGCAAGATTGTCTTATCAATATCATTATGTAGATTCTAACATGAATTGTGATGTGGTAGGTACCTAGTTATGTATTGTTCATTAGTCATTACTTTGACTTACCTCTATGTTAATTGTTAATGCAAACTTTTCTGTTGGTATGTGAACTGTGAACAATCTTCATGTCACTCAATTCTCTCAAGTTGTGACCGTCATGAGCCTCCTTTATTTTGTATTCTGTATAATGTAACTGGATGCCTTTACTAATATGGCCTTTGTATAAGATTGTTTGTTTCTAACCATACTTTGGTATTCATAACTTCTTATGAAAGAAAGTTGTTAACATTTTGAGCACCTATGAGCTATGATCCCAATGGATCTCACGACAAAATTGGGGAGCCAGATCTATGATCCGAGTGGATCTAGCGACAAAATTGAAGGGTCAGATCTATGATCCCGGTAGATCTCTCGACAAAATTGAGGGGTTGGATCTATGATCTGAATGGATCTCGGATCAGGATCCATGGGATCGGATCTCAGATCCATTTTTCCGGATCCAAGCACATGTCTGGTATTCATGATTGTTTTCTATTCCAAATCATGTCCCCATGGGCTCAAAAACCAGTCAATGTGCGGCTTTCACGTGAAACGAAATTCACCGAACGGGATCTGACACCGCTGAACGAGAACAATGAGTATCGTAACTCAACATGACACACACCTTACACATTACACATGGAGTGTATGTTGTTCACTGCAGACTGTTTCTCAGCTGACCTTAGACTCGTTTCTCAGCTGACCGTAGACAAGGAAGACCTTATCAGATCTTCCTTGCAAACATGCGGCCTCATTATTCACAAATTAGCCGGTAACTAACGAAACATTGCGACAACCTGCACTACAGGATTATCAATTTTATGCAGCGGTAACCATGGAACAGTTAAGAAAAATGCTCACGTGAGCTGTCACGTGGGCTGTCAGATCAAAAACTCGATCAAAAGTACAAATTTGCACAACCAAACTTTTGAACACGCCAAATTGCGTCCTTAACATACTTTTTGAATAGCTACATCTTCGTTTGCGGCATAAACCATGCATATTTACATCCATTCAAAAGGAAATTGTATGCTCTTTCCAATGCTGCCTGGCGCAAAGTCGTACGACCAACCAATCGCGAGTTATATGGCTTTTAAATTAGGGGTGACACTTTTTTTCGATCACCCTGTACGACACTTATCAGCGCTGAGTTTTCCGGACGCGTCTTCGGAGGGGACGATCGCGTCGGGAGCGGCTACACCCATATATAACCGGTAGGACTGGTTGACCCGACCTGACCTGACCCGACGTGGCCTAAATGCATGAAGACCAGTGGCGTAGACAGGGGGGTCACAGGGGCCATGCTCCCCCCCTTCCGCCCAGCCGCCCATCGATGGCGCCCCCAGTAGCGCCAACTAAGCTGATGCCGTTTTACAAAGGGAACATGAATTAAAAGGTATAGTGCAAAATTCCAAGTTGCCCAACCGCTTGCAAGCCAGGCTTGGAACAAGCTTCTTATATGTAGTTCGATATCAGGCTGAATTCCCGAACTAAAATGGACAACCTGTTTGGGGGAGATTGGATCTTCTGGAGCTTTCCCGACATTCCCAACCGTATAGCCATTAATTATGTTTACGACTGAATCGCTGGTTGGGGTGGATGTGTCTGCTTTCTTTCACAGCCTACCACTCCGTTTCAACATTTATTCTCGGGAATGCACATGAACACATTAGGACTCACACACATACTGCATGCATACAATATAGGTCATATGCAATGGACATGCAATAACGAGACATACGAACAAACGAACAAGATCAACATCGTTCAAGAATCTGAAGTGTGGTCTGTCGTTTTACGGAGCGGCTTAGAAGTAGCCTCCGTACCCTCCGTACCGTCCGAAGCCGCCGTTGAAAGCGCCGACACGTCCTAGGCCGAAGCCGCCGTTGAAGGCACCGAGACGGCCGAGGCCGAAGCTGTTGAAGGCTCCAATGCCACTGAAACCGCGGCCGTAGCCGAGACCGAAGCCGAGTTTGTTGCCGATGCTTCCAAAGCCACCGAAGCCACCGAAGCCACCGCCGAAGGCGCCGAAGTTATTGAAGCCGAAGTTTCCCTGGAAACCCCGTCCGTAGGGGGAGTAGTAGTTGTCATAGTAGTAGGGCCGGCTGTAGTAGTTGTCATAGTAGTAGGGCCGGCTGTAGTAGTAGTTGCTGCCGTGGTAGGGAAGGTAGCTGGCGGCGGCAACAGCCACCAGGGCGAGGAGGATGACCAGCTGAAACAAGAAATCAGGGCTTAAGAAATATTTCGACAGTTCGTCGCTCTCAACATAGGACAGCCGAAGGGGATACTAGTTAGCTGCAGTGTGTGCAGGGATCAGGAATATATAATACTGAACGAGGCCGGTGTAAATAAATTTTCAAGACCGAGGTCCTTACTGGATTTTTGAACGAGGCCGAAGGCCGAGTTCAAAAATCCAGTAAGGACCTCGGTCTTGAAAATTTATTTACACCGGCCTCGTTCAGTATTATATAACACCAGTCACTCCCGGACACTTTGTTACTATCTTTTCCTACCTGACCTGCATTAAATATGAAAGAATATGAAGAAATTAAACTCTGTTTACATAAATACTGTGTTACATTGCCATTGTTTTTCACGATTCTTAGGATCTTTTCAATGCATCATCTTATTTTTTGCAATGACGAGACTTTTTTAAAATTTGGTTTTCTTTTGATATCGAATTCAACCTTCACGAAGAATGACAGGTTTTATGTTTGTGCAGAACAATGATCGAGCATGCGAGAAATCTCGGACACACACGACAGTAAGATCCGACTTACCTTCATGTTGGTTTGTGATGCAGAGAGAACTGAGCTGCGCTGAGGGTGCAGTTGAACTGTGGGACCTGTGCACCCGTTTTATACACCTATAGCGCAGACACACCCCTTTGTGACGTCATCCAAAGGAGCTGCTGCTGCTGCTGCACAGTGATCACGTGTTTCTCAGCGCATTCGCTCGTGAAAGTGGAAAATGTGACCTGGGGATTGAGCTTAAGGCCGACTGTGTATTTGCTATCAATGTTTTATTTTGTACCTACTTTCAAAGATTCGCCACGTAGTTTTATGTCAGGTAGCATCAATGATCAACAATGTTTGCATAGTGGTTGGTGTGCAATCATGAAATTACCCTGCAAAAATGCTCTGCAAATATATTTCTAACTTCAAAATAGTATTATTTCTATTGCGTGCATACCTACCCCAGATGCGCATAGATGCATGTGCCAATGGTGTGGAACTACACGAGTGCTTGTATATAAATATGAATGTACCATTCATTCTCGACTATCTGTGTCCTGCTTGCTGGGGGGGGGGGGGGGGGCTAAATTTCCTGTAGTCCGACAACTCGACGCGGCAGTCTCTGTGCGTGACCACTTATCTGTACAGTCCGGTGAACAAACAGCGGGCGTTATTTTCCAGCAACTGTTAATTCTGTGATCGGTGGAGCAGCCTTAACCCGCGCCCCGCTGGGCTATTCAGCCATACGCGCCCTGCTGGGGGGGGGGGGCAGATTCTGCCCCCCTGTCTAACTTCCGAACCGATGGTCGTAGAAAGACGGGGAAAACGTCAATCGAAAGCTCTCAACAAGGCGGATCTTAAGAGCCCAAATTTTTTTGCTTAAGTAGGTCAGAGGTCAGGTCAAGGTCAGGTCAAGGGTACAAAATGCAAGTTTCTACAGTATCGGCCTTGCACCGTAGTTGCCGAAGAATGGACTGAGACTGATTGCCCAAAACGCGTTCTTAGACTACCAAGACAATATTCGTTGCATACAATGTCATTCAAAGGTCAAGGTCAAGGTCAGGTCAGGTCAGGTCAGGTCACCAAAAACAAAATATAGAAAAGGGCATGTGCGGACAGTGCGACACATGTTTTATGGGTCATTTTACTCATAGAATTCAATAGACACACTCAATTAGTGATATGGACCACCTCTGGATGAATTTCAGGTCGAGGTCAGGTCAAGGTCAGGTCAAGTGAGGTCAAATTTTGAAGTTGGTTGTTAAGGCCTCAAAAGGTGTCTATCTGATGCAGTTTGTCACGGCGAATCGAATGGTGCTATTTTTGTTTCCGTACGAGGTCTATAACTTCCAAAAAAATCATTTTTCAAAAATTTTGTGTGTCGTGACGTCACAAAATTTTGAATAACTTCCACATTTTTGAACCGATTCTTCTAAAAATTGGTATGTAGGTGCACATAGACCACTTCTCTGACATATATTCCGGTTTTTTCGATACACTCAAAATTTCGGATTTTATTATTATTTTCCCAAAAAAGTCAGTTTTTTGAAAAAAATTTAGGCCAAAATCCAAAATTTTCAAAAATCCGAGATAGCCATTTGATAGACAAAGTAGAATCACGTATAACCTTTTTTGTTACGTCTTGATTCCTTTAAAAATGAAGATGTTAGCGGCGTTTGAAATGTTGCCGTTTTTGAGGCGAAAATGGCGAACATGACGTCACTAAAACGTCAATTTCTCAAAACTTTTCCGACGGATTTCGCTCAAATTTTCAGGGAACGTGTCAAATCGATGTATGATAAGGTACTGAAAGTTTGACGTCGCTGGCGTAACGCGTTTAGAAGTTATTGGCGAAAAACGGGAGGGGGGGGGGGGCAGATTCTGCCCCCCCCCCCCAGCGGGGCGCGGGTTAAAGCTCTGTTCCGTCAATTTGTAGGTAGGTGCGAGTTTTCCATTGTTACCTGTCGACGCTTGTAAGGATCTAACACGTGCTGGGGCTGATGCCTGATGGTGTCGGTAGACGGTGGACAGCAATGAAAGGGAAGATATATGAAACATGGCGAGATGTTCAAAACGCTCATTGAAAAAGATGGCGGATAACTTTTTAGGGCTCATAAACCACGAAAGGGAAGACGACTCGAATGCAAAATGCGTTCATTTTTTTGAGGCGAAAATGGCGAACATGACGTCACTAAAACGTCAATTTCTCAAAACTTTTCCGACGGATTTCGCTCAAATTTTCAGGGAACGTGTCAAATCGATGTATGATAAGGTACTGAAAGTTTGACGTCGCTGGCGTAACGCGTTTAGAAGTTATTGGCGAAAAACGGGAGGGGGGGGCAGATTCTGCCCCCCCCCCCCAGCGGGGCGCGGGTTAAAGCTCTGTTCCGTCAATTTGTAGGTAGGTGCGAGTTTTCCATTGTTACCTGTCGACGCTTGTAAGGATCTAACACGTGCTGGGGCTGATGCCTGATGGTGTCGGTAGACGGTGGACAGCAATGAAAGGGAAGATATATGAAACATGGCGAGATGTTCAAAACGCTCATTGAAAAAGATGGCGGATAACTTTTTAGGGCTCATAAACCACGAAAGGGAAGACGACTCGAATGCAAAATGCGTTCATTTACCTTCCAGGTGGGGGGGGGAATTTTTTTGCCCCCTTTAGTTTTTTCGATATATCTCCAGAACCACTGCGCTGATCGTCACCAAACATTCAGTATCCTCCCGTGAATACCTATTGCACATTGTGATCAAACATTTTCCAAAGGCTATGATAGGTTGACCACAAATGACGTCAGAATGAAGTCATGTTCTGCCATTTTCGACCGAAAAAAGACCTTCGCGAGAAGAGCTGTCAGGCCTACAGCTTTGAAGATACAGAAAAATTATCAAGACATAAAAGGTGTAGAATTGACAAGGCTACAAAACTGATATCTCGGATCTTTGAAATTTTCGAGTTTTGATCCCCAAAAATCAAAAAATCATTTTTTATATATATTAGCCAAAAAATCCGAAATGTTTTTTGAGTTAAAAAAAGGAATATATGTGATAGTACCCACCGTCTTCTATCTACATACCAAATTTCAGATCTGCATCTCGTTTTTTGGCCAAGGTATAGCGAAAAAAAAAACTGTTCAAAAATGATTAAGTCAAATTTTCAAACTCACTTTTTAGCAATTCTAGACCACGTAGGGCAAAACAAAGACCACCATTAGACTCCCCGTAACGAGCTGCATCGAATCGATGCTCATTTTATGCAAAATATCAAGTTTGAAATTTGACCTAATTTTACCTGACCTTGAACTGACCTTCACCAGAACATAACTTAACCCGCGCCCCACTGAGGGGGGGGGGGGCTATTCATAGCCCCTCCCGTTTTTCTGCAATAACTTCCGAACCGCTTGACGTATCGAAGCTAAACTTTCAGTACCTTTGGCTGCATCAATTTGACACCTTGTGTCAAAATATGAACTTCGTAGCTATCACAGGTCGGCCTGAAATGACGTCAGAGTGACGTCATGTTCAGCCGTTATCGACGCGAAATACTGAACCACGGCAATCGCTCCCAAGAGCTCAGTTTTAAGCTAAATCCAATTTTCGCATGATAGGACTCAGAATAGACTGCGCCATTAAACTACCATCTCGGATTTTCAGCATTTATAAGGTTTTGAAAATTGTTTATAAAAAAAGCAAAATTTATATTTTTATCTTGTTCTCAAAACGTTTTTGACTTTTCGAAAAACCGCATTAACCCTCGCCCGCACATGCCATTTTCCCATCCTACTAAGGTGCATAATTTTTGCACAGATAAAAAAGCCAATCTTTTTGCAACAATGCTCATATAAAATTATCGATCATTGCTTTATTTAAGATCCTCCAATGGTACATTGAAAATGAACAATCTTTATGAAACACCCTGTAGAGCGCACATGGGGGGGGGTGCCACCCCCCCCCCATGCGCCATTTCGTTCCTGTTGGAGATAGAGCTTCGCGGTAAAGACAAAAAAGATTCTTTGGGAAAAGGCAAATCCAATGATACCAAGTTTTACCTTCTCAGGTCAGTCATTGACCATTCAGGTCAGGTCAAACTAAAAATGTTGCTGTTGTGGGTCACCGCTGGATATCAAGTGCGCTGCTTAGCATATGCCGATGACGATGCCGTTTTCTGGTACCAAGCCAGCCAGCTAGAACTTCTTTGTCACACGACCCGACCAGGTTTTTGCTGCTGAGGTCATTTCAGGTCAAGTTAGGTCAAGGTCATTGATATGTGTTTGTATGTCTGTGTGTGTCTGTGTGTATACTGATGTGTGCACCGATTGTTTATGTGTCCATATTACATGAAATCATGATCTGAGAAGTTTTTACCAAAAATGCAGTCAAAAAACTTCACGAAAATGAAATTCAGCTTGCCTAAAACGCGATTATTTTAGATGACCTAGGTTGACCTTGACCCTGACCTTGACATCTGTACATCGTCGAACATGTTTCATGATAGGTGGGAGGTAAGACTGGCAAAAAAGGCCGAAATCAAGGTGTCAAAAGCTCACAAGGCCCATAGCCAACGAACGATGTTGAGAATTGGTCATTTGGGTCATGACATGACCTGAAAAACAAGGTCATATCTCCAAAACCAAAAACCACAGAAACCTGAAATATTCAGTGGACATCAAGAATGGATAGAGGAGCAGAGCTATACGAAAAATCAGGCTTCTAGCTTTAAAAATGTTGAGTGCAGAGCAGAAAAACTGCCTGGAGGGGGGCTGGCAACCCCCTTCCCCCCCTATGTGCGGGCGAGGGTTAAAGGAAACAATTCACAAATATGAATTTTTCAAATTAATTTTTCAGTACGTTTTTGATATCGTACACCAATGTAAACAACTAGCACCATCGTGTTCCTGAGCTCAAACTGCATCCGATAGATACATTTTTGGTTGTTGAAAAATAGCTTCAAAGTTTGACTTTTTGACCTGAAAGTGGCCTAACCTACGCTAAATTCAACTCAAAATGACCTCGAATGACATAAACGACATCGAATTCGAAATCTTTGGCCTAAATGGCTAAATGGACCATAAAATACGTGTCACGTGACC